ACAGTGAGGGATGGATGCGCATCTCTTGTCACTTTATATGGCCTTTATCTTATCTGTTTTTTGCACCGTGGACGCCTGAATCAACAGCGCTCGTCGAGTAGCCAATCAGCTTCCAGGCAGCGAGTCCTTCACCCTCTCCCTCATCCTTCAGTGTGCTTGCATTTCTTTGTGTATTCATTGTAATAGTTAATTAAATACATGTGGATGGCAAAGTGCCACGGATGTATGTCAGGCTAATAATACTCCTATTTTATGGACTAGGGTCATGTTTTTTTTCTTGGAGAAGGTAAATATTACGAGCCGATTTCCATAAGTTTGTCTGGGGGCAACAAACATGCAGCGTTCAGGATTGTGCTGGTCCTAAACTACCACTCTGGGAATCTTAATATATCTGTTTATTGCTTGTATTTATCATTATGCCAGCTATTCACTAATTTCCCTGTTTTGCTGGTCAAATGCTGGAGGTCCTGGTAGGAAAAGAAAACCAAAACATTTTGTGAGCTTTGCTTTGACCTCGGTTTAGTGAGGTCATGCTCTTGTTTCTGTCTAGTGAGATGCTGGTCTAGCAAAAAAAAAGCTTGACACGAGACACAATATGGATCTTGTATATATGATGTGATACTCGATTACAGATTACCTTTAATTCCCATTAAAGCTTTCAAGGCTAGCTGTCTTCATCTTTACTATTGTTTATTGTTATAGTAAATCATAATGTGTTTATGAAAAGTCTTTCGCAATGGTTTAAAAGTAAGCAACGTTTAGTTTTATGCGCAAAAGGTGGAACCGTAGTCAATATTTGTACTGTGTTTAATTAAATATCACTGTACACAAAGTTTTATTTTGGAAATATTATCCGATCTCTATCCATAAGAGGTACTTGTAATGCCACATTTTACGCACTCAAAACATCGGCACATGCCCTGCAGAGCACATTATTGCCAGACTGGCTTCTAAAATCAGCTCCATGTGCACCAGAGTACGCTAAAAACCGAGATGAAGAAGAAAATGCAAAAGTTCTCTGCAGTTATTATTTTATTATTGTTTATTGTTAAAGATTGAGAGACTCTTTGCGATTCTGCGCACATCACACTACCTGGTAAGGCGGACGTTAAAAGAACTTTAAGCTCCAACAAGTTGGTCCTTACTTATTGCTTCGATGAGTCTTTTTTAAAGATAATTTTTCCTCTTTGTTAGCTCAGAAAACCTTACCTATATTAAACAAGTGTTGTTTTTAAATGGCATATATTTGGATAAACATTTGCTTCTTGCGTTAGAGCGCAAAGCTCCGGTATTTGGATAAGACAATTACGCATGGAGCAAACTAAAAAAGGAGAGGTGGGAAGGTGAAATCCGCTGTGTAAATCGATGATACAAAGGGTCTTTTTGTGTTTCGCAACAATAAAAGCTCGTTTTCTTCTATAATGTGAGCCTGTGTCTGTGCGCTATGACATCTCCAAAAACTTGTCCAAGATCGCCACAATTCAGTGACGCGTTGCTATTTTCTAATAAAACTTTATTTTAACACATTAAAGATTAGAAAAAAGAGTCAACAGTGTGCAGATACGTTCTAGCCTGGGTAAGGGAGGAAAGGGAAGCGTGGCGGGGCTCAAGCATGATTTACAATTGCCAACAAAGGATCACGAAAAGCTCTCCTTAACTTTCTGTCTAAATATGTGTTTTGGGAACAATCTGATAACCATATGCTTTCAATAAACTGGACAAATATACTAGGGAGATAGGAGATGGTGCCTTGCTGTTATAAAAGGCCCGAAAAGTCTAAAGTAAACTGAATATTACCACTTTACAAATATTCATTGATGCCAAATCCATATTAGGATATCGTGGACAGGTGTGGGTTGAAGTTGTCAGTCTCTCTCCTTGATTTTTTTATCAGTGTGCTGTAGTGTCCTGCTTGTTATGCAAAGTATAGGCAAACATAAGCGGCCAGTTGCTGTGGTAATGGTAGATATCGGAGCAGACTTGGTACGAAAAGTGATTTAACAATATTTAACAATAAACTAAGCAAGCTACCGAGCAGGTGATACCTGCCTGATGCTCCTGATTAATACTTCCTCTGCTACTTCACTTTACAGTCTCCTTTGCTTATTTATTAAACGAAATCTATTTATTATTATTTTAGCAAACAGAGGTACCAGGTGGGGCTTTATTTTCGTCTTCGGCTTTTTGTCTGAAGGACGTTTTGAGGGGGACAATCAAAGTCCAACAACTCGCTGACCAGATTGTTGTCATCCCAAACTAGCAGCGAAGCCATTCAATGTGCCCCCCTCCTCTTGTTCTTTCTAGCAAAGAGCTGCCGGGAGAGAAAAAAAGGAAAAGGAAACTTCTTCAAGAAAGGAAAAACATCTTAAAAACATTTAATTGCAACCCGGATGCCATATGTACACCTCTTGTGAGACCCCTCAAACAATATGACTGCCTTTTAGAAAGTATGGAGTGCGCCTTTGGAGACGTGTGCGCTTTTGGAGAAGTGCGCGCGTCGTGACCAGCATGACCCCGAACACACTTTACACAAGAAGTAATTCACTTTTAATGTGCTTTGGAGTTTCCTTTCACAGGCAAGGCTTTGTACCTCTCACCCCAGCTTTTGAAGACAGTGTACACCAATTATAGCGGAATAGGTGTCCTTTGGAGACAGTTTGTCTTTTTGTAAAGATTGGAGATTTTAAACACAAATAGGACGGTGGCTGCAAGTCGCCCCCTTTCACCCTCTAAACTACTACATAATGTTTTTTTCTTTGTTTCTGATAGCTTATTTGCGAAACCTCGTGTTCATTAGCGGCTCTTTGTAGATAAAAAAGAGCAAATGTTGAATTTTCAGCGAGGGGATGGTAGCTTCAAGGCACATGTGACATTAAGGTTTTAATCAGTTATAAATGTTTGATTTAGACAGTAAAGACAACCTATTTATAAAAAGTTATTTCTGTTGGCGTTTTTAATTTATGAAGACTATTTTAGTCTTCTAAACGTAAAGAAATATGGTGGATTTGCGCTTACCTGTCTGTCTGCTGGCAGGAACGTACCTGAATAAATCAAAAATATGATTTTATTTGCAGCGTTGTATATTAAGTAAGACAATAAAGAAATTATTTAATAAACTTGTAATTCAACAAACATATGTACTAATCGCCCAATTTCGTTCGCAACTCTAGTGAATCACAATGAACAGTTAACAAAAAAAGAAAGAAAAAAAAGTCAGTTCAGCTGAGTTGTTTGATGAAAGTAACACAATCTAAAGGGTGAAAGCTTCCATATCAAAATCCCAAACAATTGTAATTAGCCTAAAAGCACAATTCTGGAGAAGTTTTCAAACCTGTCATATTTCAGGTGTTTAATTTGGGTTATTCGTATACATCATAGTATATATGATATATACACATAGTAAGATGCATGTAAAAATTGACCCTGGCCAAGACTTTGTTCATAACAAGTGCCTATATTCAATTTTGAACAATAGATCTATTTAGAATATAAAAATTCCCATCGAACAGCAATAAATATATGATTGATCCTTAATGAGTGTTTCAGAAAGCAGGGGGAATCTATTTTACTGGTATTACAGCACTCATTTTTAGAGGAAAAACATCTATTACCAGTAATATCATATCTTCTTTTACTTAAGAAATGAAAAAAGAACAGTCATAATAACTCAAATATGTTTTATTGAAAGTGAAAATGGCGAAAACATCATTCTGGAACAATTGGGAATTATCATATAAACATTTATAACCATTACATCCATTAAACACTCTGCTCAGTTCTGTATCATTAAAAAAATATCATCACTATCGTCTATAATGATTGATATAAACATTTTTTTTAATAGTGTAACACTTAGAACACAAAACATAAAAGTTTCAGGTTTACCTCAGAACAGCCTCATTGCACAAGATTTGATAACACCTGTACCACAGGCTAAAATTTTAAAATGTTTGAATTTTGTATATTTTGGGTCACTTTAGGGGAAAAAATAAATACATTTCAGGCTAAAAGAATTATATTTAGGATGTTTTTACTGGTTTTATATGACAAACAGATGAAGAGGTCAACTGTAAATGTGATAAAAGTGACGCACAGACTATCCAGGGCAATTTAACATGGACTTCAGTTACCACTACAACAACAAAAGAGCAAAACACATAATGTGTCTGGGTTATTGTGTTGGTTTAGCCTTATTCCACAAGTCAACCTAGTTTAATAACTTTTTTTATTCATGTTCGTTTAAGACGATCAATTTAATTTTATCAATAAAACGGCAGCTGTACAACTAGTTTTTTAATTGTCTCCAAAAGAAGATATCCCACTCAAAAATAGTGTATTTAGATGTGCAGTTACAGTACCCGGCAGCTCTGGGGCGCTGTTTTCCCTTCTAGACAGAATTTCGTCTTGTTACACAAAATGCTAAATGAGGCGTTCACTGATGTTAAAACGTGTATACTTTAAGTAGAATAAAAGTAAACGATTATGATCCATTTGTAAACAAGAACGTGTCTATCAAGGAATGAGAGCCATTATCTGTCTTTATAATTATCTGAGAATCAGAGAATGTGACCCTTAGTAATATATGTTTTTAGATACCTTTTTTTAGGTTGCCAAAAAATTGATTGTTCTCCGCTGAACAAAACTGAAATGCCGAAATGATCTGAGCAATGCACAGTCATACATCTGAATAAATGTGGATAAATTAAGATTTATTACGAAAAGGTACTTTGTTGTCTGTTTGTCAAACATTTCTGGGGTAAAGGTCACTGACTCGAGGCGTAAATATTTCAATAAATACGATGGTTTCCATGGCATTACTGGACTCACGTGACGGCAAATTGTCTTTTACGTGGCGTCTTTGAACGCAGCATTTCACATCCAGTTGTGGGTGTGAAAACGTGCGACGTTCCTGCGACTCGGAGAGAAGATCTACAAAGCACGCGGTGCCTGGTAGATTGGTAGATTTCACAGCGGCACAGCGTCATCAGATCTACACATGCGCAGACCGCGTGCAGTTATACGCGAGTGTATTTGTGACTTCCTCAATCAGGGTTAGCTTGCAGCTGTGTTTGGTAGTAGCATGTAGATGAGAGTAGAGGACTCATAGCAAAGGCTGCTGGAGGTGACTTCCCCGAGAAGCAGGCTAAATAAAGGGAACTTTCGGTGACAGTTTGCCTCGAGAACATGGACTACTGGGTAGGTGTCTCTGTACTTTCTCTCCGTCTCACGTTACAGGCAGTGTAGCAGACGGGACAATGACAGTGCGGCTTCAGGACGCCCGAAGAAGCAGACTTGTTTATCAGTACTGAAGTGAGCTAATGGCCCGAGTTGTTTTCCTGTGAGGGATGCTCCGAGTCCACAAACACTGGCAGGCACTCTTGTTATGAGAGCTTCGTGTTACAGACATATGGTTGTTTTTCAGGAAACATTTAATCTTCATCGATACTTTTTGGCCCTGTTATAAAAAGATGGTATACAAGATGTAACTACAGGTTCATGGTGCACTTTTATTGGTTTAAAGTCTAATAAAATAAGATCCTTCCTCTTTGTGTGCGTGTTTTGCGGCTCATTCACTATTGTTTATTGTGGCTGCCTCTGTCTAAAAGTAGAAATCCTGTTCAACATAAACCTGCAGGAAGTTTAAACAAAGCACTACTCTTAGTAGTCCCACGGGAGAGTTGTTTAAGGTTGTGCAAGCAGTGCTTTTTTTTTTTTTTCTTTCTTTCTAATTGAAGTAATCAGAGGCAGACAAAAGAGACGGCAGGAGATGGCAGCTGGTCTGAAACAGATCTGCTGTCCGGGCAGAAATCACTCTGAGCTCCTTCAGGTCATCACAGGAGAGAGAAGAATTATCTCAAGGGGGAAAAAAAACTAAACAAAAAACATACTTTTGATGTTGACCTAAATATCGTTTGATACTGTGGCAGTCTGGAGGCTTTGTAGAGGTTTAAATAAAAAATTTCCAGACGCCACATCTGTAATTATTCTCCCCCCTCAGTGATCTCCTCATCTCTCTGAGCTTTGGTGATGTTTTAGCAAGCTGACTGTTTTTTCCTTCATGTATCCAGGGGCAACCACCTCACGCCCAGTATATTTCCACGAGAACATGACCTCCCATTTGAAACAACAAAAGGTCTCATTAGAAGAATAGTTAAATGTTGTATAGGGTGGGTTTGAGCAAAAGAATGGGTGTCCACTGTTCAACAAGGAGTAGCACGAAACTGGTACAAGAGGCTTTGTGTGAACCTGGTGTAGGTTTTCCTGAGGGGAAGCTGTGTGTGTGGGATCTGAGGCTGAAGTAGAGTCAAAAAAGGGAGTGATCTAATCTTTATTTATTTATTCATGTATTTATTTATTTGTTTAGTTGACAGATGTGTGACAGCAATCAAATGTGGGCGGTGTGCTAAATTACATGCCTGTCATGACTCAAGTCAAGCTTCCCATTCAACATATGTTAGTTGCTTATTTTCTGTTGCTTCAGTCAGCTCTTTGCAGCTGATCTTGCTAAACCTGTATGAGAACAGGCTGTCCAAAACGGGCAGGTATGGCAGCTGCTGTCTGGTCAGGGGGTAGGACTCCCATGGCTCACTAACAACCCTTTACCTAGGATTTAATGGGGGGGCAACATCTTAGGTTGTTCTTTCACACAGTAAACGGCCTTTCCGTCGCACTAAGAGGACTCGCCTCATTGTGTTATTTTTGCTGTGGCAGAACAGATTGTGATTAGTTAAGATACTGCTGTTGAACCTTAAGCTTTCTTATTGCAGCTGAGGTGGCAAGTCCTCACGATCAAACTGCCTGCTGTTATGTTGTAAAAAGACTTTGTGAGGGAGATAATGCAAAGACAAATTTGCTGCGCTTATGCAATCCCATTGACGGGCACTTCACTGTGATTAAGGCTCACTTAGATCTCCTCGGGCTAAATCATTACATGCACATTTGAACTGACAGGAAAATATTCACCTGTGATCGTGCTTTGAAAGAGACGTGAATTATACCTCGTCGTAAATTTGTAGCTCAGTCTTTCCCGTCTCGTCTAATCCTGACTGATTACCTTAATGGGCTGGATGTGTTATGTGACTAGTGGGAGGAGTCTGCTTGTAGATCTACAGTTCGCTGAACGTGTTCTCTCACTTTCACCTGGTGTACCGAGTGCTGGCTGTCTCTTCACCTGACAGTCAGGAAAAGTGCCGAGTGCGTTTAAAGTGTGTGGGGGTGGGATCTGTAGGTCTGGCAATGTCTTCAAAAGTAAGTACTCGCACTTGAAAGATTAGTTACTTTCCCTTAAAGTAATTGGATGTGTTGTCAGTCACTGTCTTTGATGGTTTATGGCCTGACCTGCAGTGTTTTACTGGACGCCTGTACATCTGCTCCTATTGCACAGTCACAAGTCATGTGTCTTGTTTAAAAAAATAAAAATAAAAAAATTCAGATTAAGTGAGATGAAATTGAACTGTTACCTCATTTTGCAGGAAAGCAGTCATTATGCTGTCAAACAGTGACTAACTTTCTCAATACATGGCACTCAGTGGTAGCTTCCCCATATCACCATAGTCGTGTAAGAGATCTGTATCACAGGAAACATGAGTGCTGTTGACTGAATAGTTTGAGCCTTCTGTAAATCCAGATTGTTGTTAGAGAAAAGCTGATGGTTGCTCTGCACTTCTCTTGTAATGCATATTGTGTGTCTCTATGTCCAGAGTGCCTTGGAGGTGTATAAGGAGATGGTGCTGCTGTATTTGGAGGAGGGCCGGCAGCAGGTGAACTCGCGCTGCGCCCATCTGGAGCCGTGGCAGATCATCGGAGTGACAGTGATCACCACAGTGGGAGCACTATGGGTCAAAGGCTTCCTCTTCCAGCAAGAAAGTAATCTTTCACACAATAAGAATGGGTCCAAAGTAGGCCTGCTAGAGTCTTTGAGACTTGAGATAACGCATGTAATCAGCTAACCATCTGCTAATGTAGTGCACACTATCTGGAATTGCGGCACAACCGAGCAAAGCCATCATTTGTCTCGACTTTCTAGATCTTCCAATGAATCGGTGCTTAAATTCCTCAGCGAGTAGGTCAGAGCCAGCCATCTGTAGCTCTCTGAGAGGGAAAGGTCAGAGTGTGGCTTCTTGGTAAAAATCTAGCTCTTTAGTGTGTTTGCGAGCAGAGTGAAAGGGGCTCGTGACTTCGCCTTCCCTTAACGTGTGATTATGGGTCACAGTCAGCTGCTTAATATTTGTGGATGCATGCATGCTAACATTTCACCACAGCTGCTGCCTTGTGTTTTCTGGTTAATAGGTCTGACATCACGAATCAAGAAGCAGTGCTTTAGACTCATCAGAAAAATACCCTTCGTTGGCGGGGCAGTAAGTATCAGTGGTAAATCTCTTCCCTTTTTTATTTTCCCCCCTTCTGGTGTGTGCTGACGAGTGTCTGGGGTTATTATGAGTCATTCTTGGATGACTGCATATCAAAGTCATGGAGGGGGATGGGTGGGAATGACAGACCTTTGGCACGATTAAGATGATGCTCTGGTGATAACATGTGGTTACTTCTGTTCAGTCAGCAATACTGTTACTTCTCCTATATCCATTTTAGGTTATGGGTTACGTTACTCTACTGCTGTTTGTGCCTGTAAAGTAACTCTGTCCTCTCTTTGTATCAGATCCAGAGCCAGCTGAACAAGGCTTTGGATGACATGTCTGCTAGTCTATTTACCCTCAAGGAGGGGATGAGCTACACCACAGAGCTTCCCTCCAAAGGTCTCTCTCAGGCCAAAGTAATGGAGAAAATCAAGGAGTACGACACCCTGAGTAAGTCCTCATTCAGCCCTGAGATTCCTGCTTCTTTATCAGTATTTCTAATCTTCATTGCTGATAAGAAAACTTGTCTACTTATCTTTCAAAAGGATAATATCTTTGAGAAAGCCAGTGGTTTCTCAAGACTCAATCTTTTGTTGCAGATGAGGTGAAGTGGGATAAGGGATTGGTTTCTGGGGCAGTGTACTGGGGCGATGAGTCACTGACCAACCTCCTTGTGAAGGTATGCATCTCTGTACACATTTGCAGATTTTGGCATTCCAAGCATTAATGGCCAGGGTCAAGCTTGAATACATTTTGGAGTTTTTACAGTAACAAAGTTATTTTTTTGATTTCATTTCCTGGTCGGTCCTTTCGATGACATTGGTTTCACCCTGGTTTGAGGTTTGCAGTTTATGCAACACTTGACTACTTTTGTCATTCATTTGTTTGTTTGTTTGGGGTTATTTTTAGGTATATGGGGATTTTGCATGGAGCAATCCACTCCACCCAGACATTTTTCCTGGCGTACGGAAGATGGAAGCAGAGGTTGTCAGAATGGCTTGCACACTCTTCCATGGTGGGCCTAACTCCTGTGGCACAGTAAGTCACCATACAGTAGACACTTGCAAGAAAAGGATTTTCTTTATCGGCAGGATTTCCGTCACAGTTATACAATAATAATAATAGACAGGGACAATTTAAAACCCACTTCTAGTCTCCTTAATAGAAATACAAAGAAATAAAATTGCAGTTTGTGTTGTAACTCAAAGTCATGAAAAGTTATAATGAGACTTTGCTGAATATCTGACCACTTTTATGATCAGTGAAGAAATTCTGGTGATCCCAAAGATTTCTTTTTTGCAACTCTGTTATCAGACCGATGCACAAACCTCTATCCCTACATTTAGAAAAGGTGGACTGAATTTGTCTTATCCTTACCGCTCCTTTGTGCAGGTCACTTCAGGAGGAACCGAGAGCATACTGATGGCCTGCAAAGCATACAGAGACATCGCATACGAGCGAGGCGTCAAACACCCTGAAATGTAAGCCGAGCTTTACAGGACACAGGGTCCGTGTCAAGGCTTGTTCCTGCCAGAGAAAGTCATGAAATCATTTTCGTGTCCTGCTTTTGTTTCCGCAGCCTTGCACCTGTGAGCGTCCACGCAGCTTTTGACAAAGCGGCACATTATTTTGGGATGAAGCTGGTTCACATTCCTCTCGACAAGAAAACTATGAAAGTGGATGTGAAGGTGAGAGAGAACACGTGTAGACAGCATGTGCTGACTTCTGTTTCCAGGCATTATTTATTCCAGTGTTGTTTGTTCTCTTTCAAGGCCATGAGGAGAGCCATCAGCAAGAACACAGCCATGCTTGTCTGCTCAGCTCCCCAGTTTCCTCATGGAATCATAGATCCCATTGAGGAAGTAGCCAAGGTTAGAAGTGCACCATTTTTTTTTTTTTTATGTACTGTTGACAAAAACTGGGAAGTCAAATCCCTCACAGTTTCCCTCGATGTGTTGCAGCTGGCTGTACGCTACAACATCCCGATGCATGTGGATGCCTGTCTGGGTGGTTTTCTTATTGTGTTCATGGCCAAGGCTGGTTACCCACTCGCCCCATTTGACTTCAGGGTAAAAGGTGTTACCAG